AGCGAATGCTGGGGTGCAAGGGGAAAGTAACGCTGCCTGTTATGGTCAAGGTTATGTGTCAGCTTGGCTGGCCATGATTCTCAGCGGTTTGACAATTATGCAACAATGTACTTTGGTAGTTATGAAATGATATGGTCATCCTACATTTTGTGATCTGCTGTGGCCATCTTCTATTTTCTCATAATGCTGATTTTCACATAGTGACCTGATCTCTGAAACCTAACCATGTCACTAAGTGTACTTTGGGTACACTTTGCCTGGAATATGGGAATTTTGGAACAGTATTTTAGAAGGCACCAAATGCTGTCAGAGAAGTATTTATGGTCAATCTGTTTCCTGTTTAGAATCCACTTGCTCTGGAAACCTAGATCTGAGCCTGGCATGGAGCCTTGAGTCCTTTGCTATAAATAATCACAGCTGGAATTAAGGGAGCTTCCTCTACAGGACTATCGTATTTCATTTTCAGAACTTCGACTGTCCTTTCCCAATGTGGATACTGTCTTAAGGAAGTGTGCAAACACCAAGATATCTTTAATGAGAACTTCTTAAAATTTTTATTCAGAAGCAAACGGTTAAAGACTTCATTCATTTAGAACGTGGGCTTTGGAGCAAGATGACCTATATTTGAATTCCAGATCCTTCATAGTGCGACCCTGGGAAAGTTATGTTGCTTCATTTATCTCATTTATAAAATGGAGTTAAAAATACTTACAGAGCTGTTGTGAGGAGTAAATGAGGTGTATAACTAGCATATTTAACCTAGTGTGTAGGGTATAGTAAACTGTCCAAAAACAGCTGCTGTTATTTTCTGTTATGATGGTGACAAGACCTGATAGAGCCTTCTGCACAAGTAGGACTGTGCACTTGCTTTGAATATTCTCTCAGCGAATAGGTCTACACCCCCAAAATTGAAACTTAGAAACCTCTAGGATTAATTTAGATAACTTTAAGTATGCATGAGGGTATTTATTTCATACTATGAACAGGATCAGAAATTTTCAAAGTCAGATATAACTAAGGTGTGAACTAGTTGCTGTCAAGTTGATTTCAGCTCATTGAGACCCTATGTGTGTCAGACGAGAACTTCATTCCATAGGATTTCCAGTGGCTTGTTTTTCAGAAGTAGACATCCAGGCCTTTCTCCCGAGGCCCCTCTGGGTGGACTCAAACCCCAAATCTTTCGGGTAGCAGCTAAGTGCATTACCCTTGGACCACCCAGGGATTATAACCAAGGTACTCACTATGCATTTCTTTCTTTTTTAAATATTTTATTGTGGTTTAGGTGGAAGTTTACAGAGCCAGTTATTTTCCCATTAAGCAATTTATACACACATTGTTCTGTGACATTGGTTACAATCCCTACAATGTACCAGACTCTCTCCATTTCCACCTTAGGTTCCCTGTTTCCATTTGCCCAGTTTTCCTGCCCCCTCCTGCCTTCTTAACTTTACTTTTGAGCAAATGCTGCCCTTTTGATCTCATATAGTTCTAAGGAGCATATTCCAACTGTTGTTGTTCACTTTATAGGCCTGTGTTTTATGCAGCTGAAAGGTAATCTCCAGGAGTTCTAAGACAGAAGAGTGCCTGAGGCCCATAGTCTTGGAGGTTCTCTCAGTCCCTATTGGACTGGGAAGGCTGCTCTTGTTTTTGTGAGTTTGAGTTTGGTTCTACTTTTTTTTGCCCACTCTATCTGGTACCTTCTATTGTGATCTTGATCAGAACGGTAGGTGATGGTAGCCGGGCACCATCTACTTCTTTTGGTCTCAGGTTAGTGGACGCTGTGATTCGTGTGATCCATTAGTCCTTTGGATGAATTGTTTCCTGGAGTCTTTGGTTTTCTTCACTTTTCTGTGCTCTGGATGGAAAGAGACCAGTAGTTGTAATGTATTTCTGGTTTTTCATCCTGTGTTTTAGAGCACTTGAATAGAACACCAACACTTGCCTTTCTTCTCTCTCATTCGCCCAGCCTGAATTCTCTGCAAATTTCTTGGCTTCCATTTCACTGCCATCTTCCTGACGGGTATACCTCTTCCTTTCTTGCACAACTCCCTCCTGTTATTAGAACAGCTCCTGCAAATACAGCAAAAGCCTTCTGTGGTTGAAAAGAAAAGTGAGAGTATCCATTGGCCTGTTCAGTCCCTGTGTCCTTCACAGTAAAGAAAAAGAAACTGAAAAGGAGGAAGACACGGCATACAGAAAATAGGAAACAACACAGAAGGTGAAGGGACTTCCCCAGGATGATAGTGAAAGGTGATGACAGAATGATAGCTGTGCAGACCATGTGAGAGAATAAGGCCAGCTTGGAGGAGCTTAAAAGGCTGAGACTTCTTTCAGAAGATGTTATGATGGGATACCTGAACCTTTCTGAGAGGTTGAATCAATGAGAAGTACACTGAAAACTGAGCAAAGAAAAACACACAAGATGTTAACTCCAGAGAAAAACAAGAGTTGAGCAGGAAAGGAAAACTAATTATGCTCCACTACACAGCTTTGCTTTGAATTGCATTTACATATTCATGATAATATAAAATTTGATATTGATTTAACTAACACTATTGTTGTTATGTGCCATCGAGTCGGCCCCGACTCATAGCGACCCCTCCTTGGGTTTCCGAGGCAGTATCACTATGGAAGTAGGATTGCCCAACCT